CAGACTTATCACTTTTTAATTATGTCAGACTACCCGAATTTGCCCCCATCTCTCGTAGTCCAGGTCAACCTCCACCTTGACATAGTCGAGCATTGACTCTAGCAATTCCCATCGAAGCCTCGAGGGTGCATCGGCGATGTTACTTGGGGATGGCACCCTGGTGTACCAGTTTAGGCTGTTGTTGCTAGCGTCCTGCAGCATTGCCTCGATCAACATCTTCCTACAAGCCTCAGACTTGGTTACTCCAGCCACTAAGGCCTCCTTGACACCCTCGTTGTCAATGAAGTACAACACTCTCGCACCTCTGAGGAGTTGAGGGAAATGTCTCTTGATAATCACTATGGGCAACATCTCGGCTTGAGCAATCACATGCTCGTGACCAAACCCTTGCCATTCATCAACAATCTTTGGGGGAATGTTGAACCCGAAGGCCAGTGGTAATTCTGTTCGCGGAGACAGGACCACTGCTCCACAAGAGGCAGTGCCCCCTTCATACGCACCATCCGTGAAGATCAGGCACGGCATCTCATTGTTCACCGCCTCCAGTCGTCTCGGGGGAGCAGTCCTCAACAGGTCGGCCGACAATTTGAGTGCTTTGCGAATCTCACTCGTCACCCCTTTGACACTTCTACTCATCAGTGCCCTCTGCTTCACGGGGCCCATGAGGGGTGCCAACCATCTCCCACTGCACTGTGCCTCAGCGAAGTTCAACCTGCCGTACACCTTAGCTGCCGTGGCGGCTGGGAAGGACTGGACTGCCTCCATCTCTTCGATTGTGGCCTCCAGTTCTTGCACTCTATCCTCTTTGTTACGTACTATCACCACACCGTCATTGGACTGACTCAGGTCTACCACCACACCCAAGACTACAAACTTCCTAGCCGGTGGGATTCTCTTCTTGGCTTCCTCTGCAATGCACCAGCCCAAAGTACGCATGGCCTCTTCCATGACCACCTGAGTCCTCACCACCATCTGCCCTAGGTCAACATGCGGGAAGTCGTCGAAGTAGTTGATCACTGGGATCAAAAAGAACCTCTGTAGCACCTCTCTCAGTGCCCTGGCCGCCCGATTGAAAGCCATCACGGACCCCGTCGCCCCGAACGGGAGAACATAGGAAATAAAGTACTTCACTTCATCGCTCTGGGGGTCTAGGACTGCGATGACCGCACAATTCCGGTCGGTCGGGGACAGGGGCAGCTGCTTGTATGCAGCCTTGAGGTCGAGGCACCTACCACTCAGCTGCAACTCCTTGCCCCTGAACTCCTCCCCTTTCCGCCCCTCCAGCACCAGACCCGTGGACAGCTCAGCCCTGACTTGGTCACTCGCACCCCCAAAGGTCCTCATCCATGCAGCCGCCAACGAGACTACCTCGTCGACTCCACCAAGGTCCAACTTCTCACCTGGGCCATAGCACTGATTGACCGCGAATTCGCTGAGGTCGTCTATGTTCCTCACCTTTGCTCCCTGAACTATGCCGAACCTTCTACTCGGCGTCCACAATGGTCCAACTTCCTCGGTCACTTGGCCTGCAGTGAAGGGTCCTGACAACCATCCCCTCTCCGCCTCCTTCAGGGTCGCCTCCCACACCTCATGCGCAACACTGACATGGCTCCCAGCAACACTCGCCTGTCTGCCCTGCATATGTCTCGGGACTCTGGTGGACACCTCTTGCTGGGCCGACTTTGCTGCTCGCCACAGGTCTTCCCTGTCGAGCATTGGTGGCTTGCATTCAGGTGCGAAACAGCCTGTGACTCTGCCTTCACCTGTGATCCTCATGCCGTGACACATGTCCTCTACCAGGTGGATATCCCCATAACCGACTGTCTGGATGAGCTCGGCTAGCACGAGAAGTTTCTTGGGGGCCAAAACTTCAGCAACTTTAGTCTCCATGTTGGCGTGCAGCTCATGCTCTTGTGTTTCAAGTTCTTGCACTCTCTGCTTCAACCACCTCAACCTACGAACTCTCTCTTCATGCATTTCTTGGGTGCCTTTGGTCAACACTTGAAACATGCTGTCGACGACGTGGTCTGGCGTCTGAAATGCTGTGTCAAACGGGTGTTGCAACTGCTGGGCTCTCCGGACTGCTTCCATCGGTGTCATGGGAATGCCGAAAATTACTGACCTGCTTGCCCCGTCCCCGTGGTCTTCCCCCTCGTTGGACGGTAAATGGCGAACAATTCTGGTGCCTTCTGGGAAAACTAGGTCGGCTAGGGCGACCGTGGTTTTGGATCGGCCACTCCAGGCCAAAACTTTGGCTACATCGCGGGGTTTGTCCACGATGAGGTCCACCACTTGTCCATCCTCCGGCAACATTGGCTGGGCACGTCGCCCCTTAGGCTGCTTGCCGGCTGCCACCCTCCAGGTGGTGGATGCCTGGTGGGCAAGCGGGGTGGACCGAGGCTCAGGGTGGACTGGGAGTTGTCGTTCACATGCCCTCCTACTGATAATGGCTGCAATGCGTTGGCATAACAACAACGGGTATTCGGCTTCGCTAGCTGTGTCGTACTGCCACTTTCCATTGAGTGTCTTGCTGACGGACCACCCTTTGTGCGTGTGCTGTTTGTCGCACATCACGCCCAACTGACACAGTTGCTCGCAATTGTGGAGGAGTGAGGTCTTCTTGTCTCTCTCCCCTCCGTGCATACACACTTGGAATGTGGCAAAATGCACACCTGCAAGCTGGAACAACTCCGCAATGCATGGGACCATCCACATGTAACTATTGGTTGGGTTCTCGATGAACACGTAAACTCCCTTAGAGTGACCATACTTGAAGACTCGTGCGGCTGTGGCATAGCATGCGTTTGCCAACTCCACCCTGGTCAGGTCCGTTCCGTGTAGGTCAGGAAGCCCACTGGGGTACTGCACGCTCCTCAGTGGTGGTGGCGACGGCACTCCTTGCCGCCGGAGCCAGGCGGGTATTGGTTTGTCTTTCGCACGTGACGCCGTACCACACGGCGGTGCCATAGGTATGAAGAAAACATCTCCTTCATTCACCTTAGCCTCAATGAAGTCTGCACTAGTGCTACGTGACAAGTCTAAAACTATACAAGGTCCAACTCTGTTCTTGCATTTCTTATGGTCTACGCCTACGGCGGCAAAACCATGAGCTTTCAAACACTTACTTAACTTGCACGACCCGGCAAACAACTCAAACGTCCGGGGCACAACGCCCTTTGCGTTTTCACTCAGCCTGCCGGGATTGCTCCCGGGTTCTTGAAAAGTTTCTGTACATGGGGCGGAGCCCTCTTCAGCTCTCCTGATGGGCTCTGATTCCTGTGCTCGCGCCGGCTCGTCGCACTCCAATGCCGGCCTCTCACCTGCTTTTGCAGGTCACTGGGTGCACTGCATGGCACCATGGCCTTGCTTCCAACACTTCATGCAGGTGTGCAATCCCTTCGAGCACTTTCCGTCTTTGCCGCTGTTGCAGTTGCCCAGCTGGTCGCCATAGCAGATGCGCTCTCCTTGCTTCATTGGGGACAACCCCCAAAGTTCTTTCGGCATCTTGATGGGCATTTTCTTTGGTGCCACTGCCTTACTCGGCCCCGCATCGGCTGGCGCTGCCTTCGTCTTCTTGGTCTCCGCCTCGCGCAGCCTCTCTTTCAGCTTGAGGTTCTCCTTCATCAGCTTCCTCTTTCCTGCCCCCGGCGCTGATGGCTCTGCCGCATGCGTAGCCTCGTCCTTCCCTGTGCTGCTCTTACTGCCCGGCAATGGCAGCAACAGGGTCATGAACGCCGGGTTTGCTATCACCCGGTCGATGGCGGCATCTGCCAAGCGCCTTCCTGTGGCATCTCTGCCGAGGTCTCCTTGGAGCTCTTCTGACATCAGCTTCCATGCCCTGCGGTCTGCTGCTGCCACCTGCGCTAGCGTCACCGCCATGTACCCCATCGGTGCTTCCCGCTGATACTCCTGGAACATCTTGTCGATCAGGCGCTCATGGGCAGTGAAGCTCATGACATCAGCAACCTCCAATGCCAGGCCCCGCCTCGTGTAGGCTTGCCTCAGCCTCAGGTCCGTGCGGGTGTCCGCCTCTGGCAACTTGGTCTCATCATGGGCCCTCAAGTGCCCGGACGCATCCTTCTTGATCAATTCCTCAGTCTTCACGTTCTGCAGCTCCTGATCTCTTGTCGGGATCTCGTGTGGTGCCAGGTACTTCAGCTCGCCTTCAACTCGCATCGAGTGGAACTTGTCGACGACATGATGCGCTGGCTCCAGTTGGTCTGTCAGTTGAAGGTGCCCATACATCGCCTTCAGCTGAGCCCAACGTGTCTTCCGCTCCACCGGTGGCAGCTTCCTGGTCTTCGACCCGTCTGCCTCTTGGGTCCCCTCCAGGCGGCTACGGAGCTCAGCTGCCACGATCGTGTAGGCCTCATGGTAGAGCTTCCTCAACTTCGGGAGGTCTGCATGGTCTCCTGCCCCAGTCAGCGGCCGCGCCACCTGTTGGATGAATGCCTGATCATCTCCTGACCCAGGCGACCAACTGCTGGCAAACGCAAAGGTGCTCATCGTCGTCCAACCTCTGCGTGTCATCTCATCTTTGTAGCCCTCGAGCCCCATGTCCTTGAGCTTCGCCTCGAAGACCGCATGGGATTCGGTCAACGTCGCCATGGCTCCGCTCGGGTGTTCACCACTAATGCTCGGGCCTTGTGTCACTCCGGCGTTCGCATCACCTCACAACTCACTTGCTGCACCTCACAACTCCAGACCACACATAAGGTTCTCTTTCGATGACTCTCTAACCTCACACCGTCCTATGCCACACTTGCTTTCCGACGCGCGTCGCTCGCTCCGGCAGTCCTTGGCACCTGACTTCATTCTGCAGGACCACCCTGCTCCACTTGACCTGGCCGGACTACCCGGTGTCAGGTCAAATGCACTTGGGAACAACTCCCTGCGGCATACTCCATGCATCACTTGGCCGGTCTACGAAGGTCACTTGCGACATCCGATCTTCGATCCCCCCCCGGCCTCACATCGACCCACTTTTTGCTCACTGCGGCGCGTCTTTCACCTTGTGTAGCCTTCACACACTTTACACTTACTTCCCCAGGCGTGGACTTCATAGTCCAACTTCACCATGACGGCGGAAATCATTCTGCCACACGCCAACTTGCCCGGGGTCACACTTCCACTATGCACAGTACCTGTGAGACCATGCCTATACAGCTCTGCTGTGGCTTTCTTTGGTGGCCCGAGCTTGGCCGTGACGACTGCCTCGAGGTTTCTCTCATCTTCACTCTCGCGGTCCTCCGACTCTTCTTCACTGCTCTCACTTGTCACCTCAGCCAGTTCCACCAACCTGTGGATCGGCTTGCCTGGCGACTTCACCTCGAGCATGTCCCAATGACCTTCAGGGATCAACTCTTCGTCGCCATCTGGCTCTACTTCGTGATCCTCCTCGCTTGGGAGGACCGGTGACTTGACCCACCGTTGGTTCCGGGGCGCGTCCGGCTTGAACTTGCCTGTGTAAATGTCTGTGATCACATTCGTCAGGATGTCCAGTCCCTCGGCCAACGCGTCCCTGCTGTAGATCACCACACTCTTGTCCTTCGGCTTGACATGGTATCCCAGCAGCCTTCGCACCTTCTCTGGGGCCATGGCTTTTGCCAGCCAAGACAGGGCCGTTGCCTTCATGGAGTGAGCCCCAACATCCCCCAACTTCTGGGGGTAGATGGCATACTTTTGCAGCATCTCGCACAACCAGATGGATGCCTCAGGCGTCGACAACCTTGCCTGACTCCACCCGCCTCCAGGCACTGGTGTTGGTAGGAATGGGCGTCCCGGCAGTGCTCTCAAACCAGACATGTTCCTCAGCTTGAGCAACTCCTCCGCCCACTGCACACCTGTCACACCTTGGCATGGTGCGACCACTGGGAGCACTCTCCTCGCCCTGCCAACCAGTGCGTCTGTCTTGTGAATGCTCGTGCCACCTTCGAGGTACCCTCCATCGACCGTCGGCTCAGAGTCAATGCCTTGGCTGTCACCGAACCTCAACCTGCCATACACACATAGCAGGCAATGTCCAGCAAACACTCGATCTTGGAGGGGGAAGCCTTCTCCTGCCAGGACTATTTCAAGCAGCGACACTTGGGACACCGTCAACGCGTCCCTCTGCCTCAGCACCCTCTTCGTGAGGTAACTTCTGTGTGCTGAACCAGTGATGCGACCGCTCTGCAGGATCTCGTCTACCCCCTCCAACTGTATGGTCCCTTTGCAGAAAGCTAATGCACTCCTGAAGCTGTTTGCACGAGTCGCCGGCGCTCCGTCTTTCCGAAGTTGATCAACATACTGATACACTTGGGCCTCGCCGACCGGGAAGGGTGGAAGACCTTTGGCTCTTGCCCACCTGATGTAGATCATCATTGCGCTCAGCCTCACTTGTAGTGTCCCGTTCTTCTTCTTCGCGAAGATGTCCTCGAGTACTGACTCACCGGACTGATCGAGCATGCCCGCTGCTTTGCACGACTTCCTGGCCTCGTCGATCACGATCTTCCACCCCTCCATCACTTTCTCTCTCTCTGTCTCCATGGCCTTGGACCATGGCATCCGCTGACTCCCATCGAGCTTGAAACTCGGCACCATTTTCCATGCCTCCTCGACCTTCTTGATCTCGGGCTGCACTTCCTCGTCGACCTGGATCGCATGCGGTGCCCTCGTCTTCTCGTCCAGGAACTTGGTCTCCATGACTGACGACTTTCGATCCAGCACAAGACCTGTGAAGCCTCTTTCCCATGGCATCTTGAGCTCGCCTGGAACGTGGAACTTCAGCTTCTGCATCTCAGAGCGACCCATCTCGTACTCGTCTCGCACGATGGGATCACTTGCAGCTGGTGTCTCCGCCTGCTTTGCCTCCTTCATGTTCTCGACCAACTTCTTGAGGGCCTCCAATGGGCTCATCTTCACCTGCTCGTGGTCGCTGTTGGAGTCGACATCCATGACCTCCGTTGGGGATCCTGATCTGTCGCCCTCCCCATTGCGAACGTCCTCAGCTCGCATGCTTTCGAGCTCTTTGAGTCTGGCCGCCATCTCATGGATGTTCCCCACCTGCTCGAACTCCTGGGTGGCATCCACCTGTGTGACCTCCATTGGAGTGCCCTCATCATCCGTCACCACGATGGGCCCCCCCGCGTTGCTTCCCCCTTGCATGGGGGCCAAATCATCTTCCAGCTCCATGGCTTGAAAAACGAAGAGTGCGGGGGGGCCCCTCACTTGGAGCCAAAATGGCACGTGGATTCGACCGTACGTCACATGGTTCCTCCCTGTTTCTATTTGTCAAAATACATCATCACTGCGTGACAGATTGCATATATATATATATTGTATTATCCATATCTGATCCATTCCAAACATCGCATGAAGCAGAAACACCTTACGTCGCTGGTCGCCTTTCCAGGAAAAAAAGGGGCGGGCGCGCTTACTTGAACCAAACCCTCCTGGGGGTGCCGGCTGGTTGGCTTCCAAATAGGCCTTGATGCTCTTCTTGGTGACATTGCTCCCAGCCGTGGTGATCGCAGCATAGAGGTCGTCGGGCTGAACCGATGCGCGAAGGCGAACCGATGCGGCCGGTGCGGCCCGAATGAGAAGCCATCTGTGTGACGCTTCACATGTGGAACCCATGTAAACATGTGGAACCCCTGGCAGTTTGTCACCCATCCTGTTGAGGGAGGGGGTCGGAGAGACCGGGTACATACACAGGAGGTCGGGCTTGGAGGAGCCTTGATGGAGTAAGCCAAGCAAATAAACCAGGTCAGAGACGGTCAGAGCAGTCGGAAGTCGAATCATAGCTTGGTGACTGGTGAAAAACATAGCTCCTTCATCAAATGAATCGACGGTCTATAATCTGGTCCTCACCTACCTGTACTCAAATATCATATGGTCCATATATGTCCCAATGATATGTCCAACTTGGTCCCTTGGTCCCTTGGTCCACAAGGAAGTCCCAATCGACCTGCTCACACTGGACGGACCACTCTCGCTTGCCAGCTTGACACCACTCTCTCCCACGTGACCGGCCGCCGGAAAGTCCAGGCCACCCAATTCTGTCCACAAGCTCCCCCATGTTCTAAACTCTAAACCTTACTAGTAGCTTCTTGTTACAAGTAGCGATGGCCTCCACCCAATAGCGTCCTTGCCATCTTTACATTTAAAGACCTGGCGACCTGAACCTGGACCATCCGACCATCTGGGTGTCTTGAACCTGGAGATGGCTGGAGATCGTCCAGCCAGGACACCAGATGGTCGGATGGTAGTATCAAGTTCTCTGGACACACCTTGCGACCAGCATGAACCAGCCACCAGGTCCCAGCTGCTCTTGAAGATCCTCACGTTCCCTTTCGTCTAGACCGAGATGGAACGAGAACCATCGATCTCGGCAGGCCCACCTTACCGCCCTGGAGCTCGATGCACACCTCGGTTCTGGTGTAGAAGGAGGTCTCCCGCGAAATCACTGGATCTTGGTCTGAAGTTCTAATCGTCTCAAATTCTTCTCCCATCCATTGGAAGCGGACAGATTCCCGGATGACCACGGACCAAGATACCCACTCAGACCGTGTGGTTGGACCGCGACCGTGCTTTCTGTCACTCCCATGTCCAAAGACACTACGTTGCCGCTGGGGCTGCGCCCGGACCCACGAACCAGGCAGACCTCGTCTGCCCAGGCAGACCTCGTCTCCATCGCGCCGCGTCGTCGCGGAGCTTAGGTCCCAAACCCGAAGCTTGGAAGCCACCTCCATTCTCAAGGTTTCGTACCTCAGGGCTTCGTACGAACATCCAAAAATGGACGGTCCTCAGTCCTCAAATTTTCTGTGAATGGCCGCAAATGTTAACATTCGTTTTTGCGCCTCTGGTGGGCCAAAAAACGGTGCAAAACCTGAACCGTTTTGCCCATGGTAGTAAGCGGGTGGGACCAGCACCCTCTTCAACTAGCCTGCTCAAGCCCAGCGGCTTTTCGAAGGCCCGGTTCAGCACCAGCTGGCGCGCCTGCTCTGCGAAAGACAAGGCCTCACACACGGAGGCGCCAAGAGAAGTTCGTGGGGCGCATGTCTGGCATCCATGGAGATTTCGAGAACATGTCTGGCTCATCCATTGTAAATAGCGGCTAATTATAAGTGTCTGGGAGATGGTCCTGTTCCATGTCTTTCCTGTTTTACATGGCTCTGCGGAGCCGTGCTCATCACTCCGAGGCCTTGCTGCATGTCGATCAAAACACTACTGTCCCCCCCTTGCGCCGTTCACTCCAAGCACGTTGCTGGAATCACTTCATCCAAGTTCAATACGTCGGGTGAAGTCAAGGAAACGCAAGTGTCCTCACCTTTGTCAAACGTTTCAATCTACACCAGGCCATCGAACGGATTAGAATCTGATGATTTCGTGCGCGCCATGTATGTCGTGCTTCCAATGGAGCATGGACCACACAGGGCGCGACCGAACAAAAGAGTCGAAGTGGAGAAACCAGTAGCAAGTGCAGCGCTACTAGTAGCAAGTGCACCTGTTACTCATTGAGCCCAACAAACACGTAAAGCCGCCCATGGTTGACGCCCGACAGGAAGAAAGCCGCCCATTCGTCTCATCGGCCTTCCGCAAGGCGAAGTCCTGGGCCTCCGTCTTGCTGGCCACCGCCTGGGCGGCAAGGGCCAACAGGGATCAAACAAAGCAACAGAGCCGAAGTAACATGGCCCAAAAACCGTTCTTTTTGGTATCTGTTTGTGCTGTTTTTCCGTTGCACTTTGGTTGATCTTGTCGGACAAGTGCATTAGAAGACTTCTGACCTTGAAGCAGGCCTGCAATGTCTTGCAAATATGGAAATAGAATATAATAGAATGAAATATATGGAACCTGACCCTGTTCAATGTGCCCCTATGGTTCACAGCCACATCATCTATATCGTGCAATCGATCTTCATCCCCAAATTGTTCACTCACAGTTCCAACATGTTCCAACTCCCCAAACCCCCTTCCAGATCCATCTACCTCCCCCATTCCATGCTCCAAAAGCCACTCACTCATGGCCTCCATGCCCAGCTCTCCATCACCACCTCTCACCTCTCCAGCTCACCTCTCACCTCGAGCCGTCTGAGTGTGCGCACCGCGAAGTCGGTGATCATCAAGTCAGCAATCTCCTTGTCCTCGAGACGCAGACGCCGAACAACCAGACGACGCAGACGCCGAAGAAGCGCACAGGTGGGTGACATGCTGGGACGCTTCGAGCGCACAAGTGACGCTCCTGGTGGAACGCAAATAGACCAATATGGACGACCGACTAAGGAGGTCAACCTACCAGGGCGCACAGGGGCTCCGTGGTTTGGACCGGCACCGTACCCCATGGACGAACCGCCGCCGCTACCACTGCCGGCACCGTCCCGCGCGGGGCCGAAGTCCTCGGCCACCTTGGCGCTCAGCTCCTGGGCCTTCAGCCGCACCGCCGCGATCGCCGCATGCCTCGCACGGGCCGTCGCTCCGCGCCGCACGCTCCGCGGTGTGGAGGAGGGAGAGGGCGCGCCGGGCCGTTGGGAAGGACGTTCGTTCCAAAAATGGGGGTCTTTGAAGGTCGAAGGTTCCTGTGAATGTTCGATGAGGATCTGAAAAAGGGGTTTCTGTGAAGGTTCCTTGATGGACAGATCTGAAAAATGGGGTCTTTTAAGGTCGAAGGTTCCATGATTTCTTTGAAAGATCTATCCTTTTTCTTCAAAGATGTTTAGAAGGTTCCTGAAAAATGAATCCCTTTTTCAGATCTGTCCATCTCGCGTCTGGTGGGATTCTTGGCAAAACCGCCAGCGTGACCCCGGGAGGAAGGAACACAACCTGGCGAGCACCAGGATGAATCAACGCCCATTTGGGGTGTAAGGACCACCCCCCCATAAGGGGTTTGATTGATCAAGAGTCTACCCTCCATCCAACAAACATGGAAGTGGAACATGGCCCCGAAAAGGAAAACAGTTTTCCTCAACGAACAGGCTGTATTCCACTTCCATGATTGTTTCAGGGAGGGTACATTACCCTCCTCATGAACGATGACCTTAGGCCTGGCTGGGCGGCCGCGCGTGGTCTGCACGATACTCTCTATGGCCTTCAGCCGCACGCGAGCTTCTTCAGCCTGGGAACACTGGCAGCTGCGCTCTATCGCAGAGATGGAGAGGTGGACGCTGCCAACACCTACCAAAAGCGGTTGAAGAACCCTATAGACTATCCCAGTTGGGTACCCCAGTAACGTCTTATTTACGGTCACTTCACCTCTCTTGGTAGGAGATCCGTTACATTGCTCAGAGAATTCGTCGAAATGGCTCTGGGAGATGAAAGGAGAGGGGGAAGGATTCATCGGTGAATCGTATGAACCGGAGTAGTAGCCGACCAGATCATGCAACAGAATCTGCATGAATCACCTGAAAGACCGCCCGAACCAGACTTCACCAGACTTCACCAGACCTTCACCAGACTTCACCAGACCTCTTAGATGAAGCAAACAGCTCCACCGCTGTGGAACCCCTCTAACTCACCAGGCCACGTCTTTGAGCTGATCGGAGTTCGCTTCAGACACCAGCGCCTGGAGAGACGCTGGTGCGGGGACGCTGCTGCCGTGTGGCATGTGTGGCATGGCGGCCAGGATGGTAGCGGCCAGGCGGCCAGGTGCCGGTCACTCGCATGGTCAGTGGTCTCCAAATGAACTTCCAATCCACTTCTTTTTTGTTCGCCTGCTTTGCCACCTCTACTCAACAGGGGCGGTAGGGAAGACAACCCGTTAAATAGAAAACCGTGGGGTGTTTCGCACGGCTCCCTCCGTGTCGGTGCAGCAAACACTGACCTGAAAAAGGCACACCCATGGCTGACCGTTTGGTCGGTTTGAAGTGACACCTCTCACACACACGCGCGCGCACACACACACACACACATGCACACACAGGAATTCAGCACAGATCGAACATCTATGAAATCCACCACTGGACGGAGGAACATCGCCACCCCTTGCAAATCATCTAAGACACGCCAGGATGTCTTAGCAATTCATCCGTCAGGATAGGTGGACAAAAGCAATTTCTCTGAGTTCCTTGGTTGTCTGAGCACATCTACCACTCCCTGCCCAGCTGGTGGCCCTGCTGTTCCAAGACTGGATTTGATTTACCCAAGCAGGGGAGATGATGCATCGGCAAACATGCTTCCAGGCGCTGTGGTCGATACGTTGTCCAGGCGGTGTGGTCACTCGTCCCTCGCAGCTCGAAAGAACTTTTCTTAGCCCTTCTTCCACTGACAGCAGTTTGTATCAAAGGTACCCGCCTTTTTGGCACTTAAAGCTTCACCATATCACGAAACGAACCAGAGACAACAAGAAAAATCGGAAGAAACACACCGTGAGGCGGCAAAAAAAAACCATCCTATGACCCTTCCACCCGAGCTCCCCAGCTCCGACACCGGCGAAACAGAACCGCACCGGTCAAGACTCTGCGCAACCTCCAACGCCTTCGGTCGACCGACGCCGCGGCCGACGGCGCCGCGACCGACGGCGCCTCGGAGAGGCCCTCGGCCGCGTGGATCTCGGGGTCTAACTTCTGCAGCTCGGCCTGGAGCTCCTGAGCTTCTTCAGGCGCGGGCGCGCGGCGGGCGCGGGCGCCGGCGGGCGCCGCGTTGGAGCTGGGGCCGCGTTGGGTCTGGGTCGTGTTTTGGGCCGGTGGCATTGGCAGCCCAGCAACAAGGAGAATTCCACCGCTTTGGGTCTGCAGAGACGGAAGGGAATGGATGGAAGGGCACCTGGGCCCAACAAGGACCTTGATACCGCGTCCGATGATGTGAGGCCGGCTGGAGCCTTCAGACCCACCGTGAAGCCATCAGGTCCCGCCGCGCCGCGCCTTGATGTCCTCAGAGACCTCCTCCACACGGCCCTGGAGTTCCGCCTCTCTCCGCTCGCGCTCCTCCCGCCTGGCAGAGCTGGAAAAAACCGAGGTTGGAGAACCCGAGTTCGACTATCCTATCCCAGTTGGGTAGCCTAGTATGGTCTTATTTACGGTCACTGAACCTCTCTTGGAACATGCAAAAACCCACAACACATTGGAAGTGAGATGAGTTTGACACGGGTTTGGCATTGACAAAAATGTTCGCGGATCAAGTCTGGTCTGATCAAGTCCCGCTCACCAACACCAAGGCCCCTCATTTAGATGTCTCATGGTTTTCTCCACTTGTGATTTCGGCTACTAGTACGCTAAAGGTGGATCCAAAACTGGGCTGTGGCGGCAACTCCTAGGCACTTGAGGCACCTTGCAGATGGCACTCCCCATCTTCACAGTGGTTTGGTCTAGTCTATCCGGACTCTCCACTCTGCGTCACAAAACCCCCCGGACCACCCTGGTTTAATTTGTATTTGCCTTTGCACCTATGCGCGATGGATCAGATGGACAGAAATGCACCCTTTCACTGATACATACAGTGTAGAGCGAGAGCGAGAGAGAGAGAGAGAGAGAGAATCGCAAGTGGTTTCGTTTCATCCACTCTCCATCCCACACCTGGGCGGCCCGGACTCGATTCGCTCACGCTCAAGCCGTTCGGCGCGCTTCACCTTGCCCTTGTCCTCACCGAGGAACAGGAACGATCCCAGGGACGCCTGGGATGCCCTGGGTGACGAGTCTGATTACCTAGCGGAACCCTTGGAGATCGTAGTTCATAGTGGTCCTCCCTCCAAGCACCAAGAAAAGAAAAATCCCCAAGTTAGCAGGCGTATCAGTTTGTCCTTCAGCCGCAGCGCCAACTTTCAGGTTTAGAAGCACAGTCAGACGGGTGGATGTTTGTTGGGAAAGATGTCCATCTTGTTTTGGATCGGTGCCCCAATGTTTCTGGACATCATGTCCACCGTGTTGAGTTTGAGGAGCGGAGCTGTGAGGGTTTACATTTCTGCTCGCAGAGGCCCCGTGCGTCGCTCTGGCGAGATCACCCAGAACCACCAATTGAGCAGCTGCTCCAACCCAAAAGAGTCTGCACTCTCCCCGCATGCGCGTTTTCTGGGTGTGGAGGAAAAAACAGGCCCCAGCCAGGTGCCCCATGTTTCATTCTTACCCATCCATCTGGATCCATCTGGATCCCCATCCATCTGCATGCCCCAATTCCGCACGCACACGGAACGCGGAACCCCCGCAGGAACGCGGCGTGGCACACGTGGCCCGGGCCTGCCTCGTCCCGCGCGATACCGACGGAGACCTTTAAGATCTGCAAGCAATCAATGCTTGCACCTGCCACGGGAGCCGCTGAAAACGCCGCGAACTTCCAAGCAACTGGTGTACTTGAGCAAACCAACATGCTGTAGCATGCTCCTCGTCTTCTTCTTGGCTCATGATGCATGCTTTTCTTACTACTTTGGGTCTCCACCACTTGGATAGAAAGGAATACGCCCAAGAAAATATCCCAACAGCTGAGCATAAGTTTGCTGATCAAGCAATGGCAACATGTGGCAATGTGTGTTATAAACACTGCTGTATTCAAAAGTGTGAGCCTTTTCAATGTGCCACGTCAGCATATCAACACGGCAATGCGTCAGTGCCTCTATATTTGTGCACAAACATGTGCAAGCATGACAACACAGCCAAAAAGCAAAAGTCAAGGAACCTCTTCCGGAGGCCTTGGACCCGCCAGCGCGACAACATGACCCGATGCTCGCATCTCAGCGTGACAACGTGGTAGCATGTTAGTCTGACTCATGGCAGCATGACTCAGCATGACAGCCTGACAACCTGCCGGCGTGACACCATGCCAGCAGATCAGCAGAATAGTTTCAATCACGAGAGCGTCTTGGGACCTGCTCCGCCACCTGCTCCGGATCCGGGACTTGTTCCCAATCTGCATGTCTCTGTCTCCGAGACCTGCTCCGGGACCCTGCTACTCTGGCCTTGACCGGCGCCCTCTGGCTGCTTCGCCCGTTCCCGCACCTTCACCTCCACAGACTTGCCGCAGGATCCGATCCTCGGGGTTCGGGTGGCACTCCGTTGGAGGTGGGGGGGGGGCGGCGTTTTTCATTCAAACAACAAAGGGGACGGTCCCCTCGTGCCCGTGGGGCTTCTTGGGACCTGGCGACGGATGGGTGGGACCCACCGACCTGTGCAGCCTGCTCTTGTGGAGTGGGGTTTTTGACCCAATCCCCCCCATGATCCACCGAGCTGTGGGAAGGGGCGCATTCGATCCTGCGGGGAGGATGCCACTCGATCCTACAACGATGGGGGTTTAGTCTATTCTGGCTTCTGTAGCTGGAATTTTCAAAGCACAAACTGAGGCGTTGAACTTTTTTGATATTCAACTTCTGACAGCGTTGTCAAGGAATTCCGCACTACCCTCAAAACTGCAAGAAGCCAGACGCCCTGAACAATGGTATCTGAAGCTGCAAAGGTAGAAATCCGTTCCGCATGAGCCATCATGTGATCTCAGTCTACAATAGTTGTTACCTATGGTTCAACAGTCCAAAACTGTGTACCAGCTGCAATCCTTGACTGTGAGAGGTGGCTTATGTGGCTGCACTGTCCACCAGGATTCATGCTTCTGAGCCCCAAACTAAGTTCTCCTCCGGCATGTCGAAGTTGAACTCACCCTTGGCATAGGCCTAGGTGCACTCCAGCTCGGCACAAGCCAAGGCCGAGCTAAAGCGCTCCAGTCACAGCGGCAGCTCCTTTGTACACTGATGGAAGGAATGCAGCACGGTCTATGAGACAGAAGGGCACAAACTCTGCACCTCTCACAGTGGACCAAACAAGATTGGTGCAGCAAAGCGTTCGCGTTCCTCTGCACTGGCGATCCTCGATCCTCCACCAATAATAAAAGGACCAGCGTTCCGAACGAACAACAAAGACATACCAGGACCCTCCAAGGTCCAAGGGGTGTCTATTTATAGCCCCTTGGCTGTTAAGGGGTGTCCATTAACCACCCCGACTGGGGGTCCTGGTATATCTAATGATACGTGGCAAATGTGCGGCACAAGCCCACCCTTCACGGAAAACATCCCTTCACCGGCCCATGTGTGGCTCCCAAACCCCACGGCAACCCGGGTGTCCCAACCGCGATCTCCTTCCGGTTCCACCGCCCGTCGCCGTCCTGGGGCGATCTCAGAACTGGCCAGCAGCGTACCAGCACTGGGACGTGACTTGAAAGCATAGAAAAAAAACCAGCTTGCTACTGGCAAGCTAGATGTGGACCTCCCTTGTTTTGGTGGACTTGGTCATACTGCGGCCTGGGCCGTGAGCAAAGCTACACACGGCCAACATAAACCACGTGCAACCAGCGTGAGGAGGTACAACCAACAAGCACCTACTGCTAAAAGTCCAACAGATGGGTTGAAGAGCCCGACTGCTTCGACTATTCCAGTTCCCAAACACTCCATGTATGCCATATATGCCTACATTGACCCCTCAAGCCACCCGAATGTTGGCATATATGGAGTGTCTGGGGTTGGGTACCCCAGGACTGGTCTTGGGTTGTGAACCTCATCCGACCGACGTACCGAACCTCCAAAATTGCTACGGTTGAAAGATGTTGATGGGCAATAGACCCATACATGTGGTGCGTTCGGTGTGCGAAGAGGGGTTCACGTGTTTGTATGATAAAGTGTGATCAAGTGGGTCAAAACCCAGAGCCCTACGGCCCTAAAGCCCCTGGTAGTCTACAGACTGTTCATTTTGGGTGGGAACAACCAGGTTCCCCGGTTTTGACCCACGACCGTATGATAAAGCGGGATTTGGTCCATCCATTCCCCCAGCGTTCCAGTCATACTTCCTCAGAAGGTATTTGGACCCTTCAAACCCACCCCAAACAGCTTCTTAGAAGGTGTTTGGAGTTTGTAGGGCCCTAGGATTGAGCCTGTCGGGGAGCAACATGAGTTTTCTGGTCAATTTTGGGGTCCGCCTTTTCATGGCGAGTGCGGTCGCGGTCGAACATGGCTTCGCTTCCCATTTTAAGGGGTCATGCGGTCGCTCCGAGAGAGATCTCTCGTTGGAGATCCTCGCAAGTGGGCGAAAAATTCGACACTTGGAGAAGCTAGATGGTTTCTTGAAGGCCCAGGAACACACGCCCACGCGGCCGACCACGCGGCCGAACTGATGACCCTTTTTCCCGGTGATTCACCGGCGAACTGACGGTCGGTCGAGCCGCCGAGTGAGACAGTGTGCACTCATAGGGGGAAGCTTGCAGGATTCGCCTTTGGGGATCTGGGTACACCTACGCAACACCTTGATTTCATAGAGGATATGGCCACAAAAGAAAAGCCTACTGATCCAACCTACTACTGATCTTGTTGATCTTGGTACACCTACTGATCCAACCTCGACCTACTGATCTTGGTACACCTACTGCCGTCAACCTTGTCACGTTCTCCTCACTGGCAAATAAGACCGTTAAGAAGACGGAGGACGCGTCTTTTTCGACAACGGCCACCAGCAGCAAGCACCGCGGGAAAGCCCATATGACAGGTCAGCCGTTCATGATCTGTATGTATGGATGTGATTTTGAAAACTTGCTGTTCCAATCTGTTCCATGTGTTGGGACATGGCGAACGTCACAATAGCGAGAGGTCCAAATCCGGCATGTATTGGAAATCGGGAAGGGCTTACATGTGTTCACGGCTCTTGCGAAAAAATGTGTTTCCCTTCTTTCTTTGCCAGTGGGCAGCCTGATAATGGGGCTGCCTTCGTTGGTCTATAATTAAAGGTTTTTTGCGGTATGGAATTGATCGCAACTTTTCTTGGTTCTAGCCAAACAAAATGATGACACATCCTGTCATTTAGTCTTGTTTTACATTCCTTGACTCCGAGAAAGGCCGAGCAGTGTTGGTTGGAAATCACAAATCCACATTCCGGAAGAAAAAGGTTTTCCGGAAAAAACAATGGATGATGCATGGGCAAAGATGGGTTGTCCCTTGTAAGTTAGAAAAATTGATTTTCCGGAAAGCCAAAACCGCCATGAACTGGAGGCGTGTCCGCCTCTTGGCGCCAAACGCGCTTCACCCTATACTCATGCATATGCACGTCCCTAGCTGAGCCTTGTCAGCTTCACACGGCGGGACCGGGACGGTTCATTCAGGCGCCGCCCTCCGCGGCGTCAGCCTGAGGGAGGTCCTGGGGAAACCGAGCGAGCTCGGTGTTGGTCCAAAACGAGCCACTCCCCGACACACTATGCTAGATTGGAGGCCATCGCCAGTAGGTTGGAGGCCATAGCTAGTAGGTTGGAGGCCATCGCTAGTAGCTTGGATATTGCATGTTATTTGCCACATCTCCCAAGACACGATCTCCCGGTCATGTCACATGTCAGAGAAAATCAACTGTTCCTATGAGGGCCCTTGGGTCCGCACGGTGAAAGCTTCCGGTTCACAGCCGGTTACGGTGTTCTTTTGGATTGGAAAGAAATGCCTTGCCAGACCAATCCCAATAGGATTGATTTGTCCTAAAGTATGGAAGAACCGTACCACTCTTTCTCTCATTCTTGCTGACCCGGTCATCGATCTGCGAAAAGCAAAACAGCTGTTATAGCAGGTCATTCAAATTCCGCGCACATCGACACCCATCTCAGGTGACATCTCCTCCTGCTTCTCGGGATGAGCGTTTCGCTCCTTGCATGCTTTTTTGATGTCCTCCACACAGGTTGCAGCTGATCGGCGGGACTTGGTTGGGTGGTCAAGCTCTCTGCATGACTTGGTTGCACACCTAAGCACCTCGGTCAGGCTTCCTGCGGTCGTCTACCCGAGTTCTGCCAACTCACTCCAGCCAACACTCCTACTCACCAGCGACTCACGAGTCCAGCGAAGCTGTGAGCTGGTCTGTTCGTTTCATGCAACGAGGTCTGGCAAAGGTAGGTCGCTGGCCTTAATAGAAAGGGAATTAGAAGTTCTTGCGGAGTGAAGTTGTACGATTCAGCTCAGGATCAGCAGAACTGATCCAACAACGGTTCTTCGTGAAGATGGTGAACAGGCACGAGGTGGCTGCACTGGTGTTGCCATGTGTGGCCATGCTGTTTTTCAATTTCTTGAACCACAAATGACCTGAACATGTTTTAGTCTCTCAGAGTTTACCTGCAAAACATTCTCGAAGAGTCACCTATCTCAGGAATGCCTGCCTTTTCTTCAGCACATTCGGCCTTGGACCGCCCCGCCATCAGGCCCCTAAATCCTCGGGCCCCCCAGTCGAGCGGAAAGGCCTTGATCTTTTGAAGTATTCTCTTTTGATCCATGAAGATCTCCTGCCACCATGACAAGCCCAAGTCCCCCAATGGGGGGGCCAGTACCGGGGGGTGTTGATCAAGCATGATCAAGCAACCCCGGTAAGTACCGGACCGTGCCCATGTCCCGTCCCTTGGAGGAACAATAGGTCAAATACACATGAAGTGGAAGGTGGAGGATTCACTTGTCATTCCAAACAACGCCAGATTTGGGATGCCCATTCGGCGCATGCCCATTCGTGGTGACCTTGTTTTCATCAGGCTCAACGGTCCGTCCACGGGCTACTTGGTGTCGCTGGAATGCATGGCTTCATGTTTCCTCTTACCAGCAAATGAGGAGTATGCCAAAGAGGACAAATAACCCATGTCGAAGTATGTCAAATCAAGCCACGCATTTCAGAATACTTCCAGAGAAGTATGCTTATGTCAAAGAGTATACTTCTCAAGCCATGCATCTCCGATCGATCCACCACCAGCCACCAGCGAAACCAACGTGCATCAGGCACGGCGAAACCGAAGCTGCTGAGCTACGCGCTGTTTATTAAGGTCGAAGAAAGAACACAGATCAACCAAAACCTCGATCAATAACATAGTAATGATCATAGAATCATATATGATCACCAGCACCGAAACCAACAGGTCTCCGAAATGGAGGCTTTTGAGTCAGCAGGTGGTGACCTGTTGATCCTCGAGTCCTGGTTAGTGGATGCATGCGTCGCATCCTGGTTGGCGCGCTTCAAGATCTGGATAAATTCCCCGTAGGTCTCTTTGTCGATGAACTCGAACTTCCCCTTCGAGGAACAGTGACACAGGTCGAGTTCTTTCCGGCCAAACACGGGGGTTTCGGTTCTTTCACCTGTCCGACGAGATCCTTCCGCTTCGGGTTTCAAGCAAACTCGGGGTTTAGAGGGTTTATAATAGCAAGTCTTGAGTCGTGAGCAATTGCAACTATACATGACCAAACATCAAATAATTCTCTATGGCTCCTTGTTTCTATAGCCGTGCCGGTCTCAAAGCACGTCCCAACCGAAAGGGCCTCCTAAATGGGTCTCCAGTCTCCACCCTTTTGGGAGGAACCTCGCTTTCTGGTTCACGATCGGCTTCCGTCGTCGGATCCTCTGTTCGTCACAAGAGACGGCGCCCGAAGATCAGACGTGAACAAAATCAGCTGACAAACCCATGTGCGCAGGGTAGTCTAACCGAGCGACCACAAGCCAAATCGAATCCCAAAGGGTGGGGGGGGGGGGGGGGGGGGGTTGCAAGCCACATCTCCGAGCTTGGCTTTCCACCACCAAGCATGAGAGAGGCCTTTTCTTACTAATGACCCATACAGGGACAAGAGATCCAAGTGCCAACAAACATCAATAAACCTTTGCCATCCCAGGAAACATGAATGAAAGCTACAGATGCTACAGAGATCTACAGAGTGTCTTTGCATGTGAGACCACCAACAGTCAGGGTCTTTCAGTACAAGACTCATGATGACAAGACAACTGTGCGGATAGGATGAGCTGAGAAGGGGGCCTGCGCTGACATGGCGGTCTGTGGTTTCAAATGGGTGTCTGGCAGGAACATTTGAAAATAGACCCTGGAAGTCCAGTCGACCCTTTGTTTAAATGGTTGATCTGGTTTTGTAGTGTAAAACCCTTAGTGAAACAATGGTTGTTCAGTAAAGGCTATTAAAACAATGGTGGTTCGCCTTCTAGTGTAGAAATACTGTATACTGAAACCACCCAGCCATGTGGTGACAGGTGACACATGCCAAACCACTTCAACTGGGATCCGGCAACATTAGATGATGAAATAGAGCTTTGCAACCAGAAATGACCGAGAGAAGAACCCGTCTCCATTCTTCTACACCAGGTCCAATGAGTGCCATGATGAATGATTTCAAGATCATGACTATCACATGAATCTCATGTCACTTCATACCCTTTTACCTCCAGCCGCCCTATGTATCCCTACCCTCCCTCCCCCCCAAAAAAGAAAAACACCGCGGTGGACCTCGGAGATATCACCTCTCCCTCCGAGGTTCCGGGCCTTCTTCACCACGTCCTCCACGCAGCTCCGGCAGCGCTCGGAGATCACCTCCGGGCTCATCCCGAGGATCGTGGCCTGCCGAGCGGCGCGGCGGAGCGACGGGAGCGGTGGGAGGTTCCGGAGGAAGAGACTGGAAGTGGTCCAAGAAAAAGCAGCGACCAGCTGCTACAACCATTGAAGTGAAGGGATGAGATGGGGTGAGTATATATAGGGGGAGCCATGCAATGTAGGGCATGTTCGTTGGAGAGAGGGTCGTGTAGACTGCTGATTATATTTCAACCCCCCAGTTGAAGAGGTTCAGCATCTGTCCGGGTCGCACTTGTCTGCAGAGCTGAGCCATATTCCTGAAGGTCGTACTGTTCCAGCCAGGGGCAAACATCGGAGCTGTGCCACACAGCTTCACAGCTCGATGAGCTGTCCGAGGCGATGCTGCCGGAATCTGGATGTTCACTTCGAATACTCCGTCCAGAAAATAGATTGTTTAAAAAAAGAAAACGCCATCTACGAGCGCCAGAAACTTTCAGAACGGTGTATATCATGGGAGATCCCACTCTGATCCTTCTGTTGAGGTCTTTTCGTGGTTGCATTCTGGGCACGGGTAGTTCGCTTCAGGTCATTTTCCCTTCGTTTCTGTCTGCACTGTTTGACCATGAATGTCTGCACTAACGTGCGCTTGTCCTAACAGGAGACTTCGTTCAGGACGGGCCGCGAGAGTGGTGATGTTGAAGAGGTTTCACCGTTGTCTGGTGCTTGTTTGATTAATCAACAGTCTTCAGTCTACATTAGATTCCAGCCGATCCCAACATCGCTTTCGAACATTCTGCTTCCCAGCGTCTATTCGGAGTAAAAGCTTGACTGCTCCAAAAATCCTCGCACCAGGCTTGACTGCCCTTGGATACGCTGAGACCATCAGTGCTTCTCCCCCTCTTCGCACGGCAAACGCCCAGAACTCGGCGCGGCACCGTGGCGGCGTCCAGCGCGCCGTCGCGGTCATTCTCGGCGCCTGCCGTTCTGAACTGGCCCAAAATAGATCAAAAAAAAGGTCGAAAAACAGGGTCCGACCTCAAGAAGCGAAAGTTGTTCCTCTCCAAAGTTTCATGTATGTCAAGGAGGCAAAAGATCAAAACTGCTACAGTAAACCTGTAGAAGCACGGAGCCTCCTTCCTGGTGTCCCGGTCACGAACCCCTTGTCTCACCCGTGACGTCACATGTCACATGTCCCGCCTTTGAGCCTCCCTTGGTAGGCAGACTTGTCTTCCCCCTGCCGCAGGAAAACGCAGCTTCATCAACATTCTACAACTCAGCTTATTGTAGACTCTTGATTCATAAATCCCTTCCAGACATGGATTGTGGAACCTCTTCAGGCCTGGGGTGCTTTTATTCAAACGAGAGTCTACATGGGTTCTAATTAATTGGTCAACAGTCTGCATATGTCTGCATGATGCCTCCTCACAAGGAAGAATGGAAGCCTCAAAAGGGCCACAAAAGGAGCGTTGAATCCGCCTCTATTCACTGCCTGCCGAAGCAGCGAACCGACCTTTTTCCCAACCTTCCAGGGCCCCGGGTTGGGCAGTTCCAGCCTCCGCCTCTTTGTATTGAACTCTGAGCTTCATGGCAACTTCCTCAGCAAGTGCTGAAATGGGTGTCACGGTGCTTTCACATGTGAAAGCAATGGGTGTCACGGTGTCCCTGTAGATGTTCCTCATCGAATGACAATGAATCCAAGACCTGAAGATTCTTCTCTGTGCCGTCGAGAAGCCACTGGTTTGTTGACTACGGCAATGGCCTGCCCAAAGGGCCGGTGCTGCGTTCGCCATGCGTTCCCGTGGTGCTACAGTTAACAAGATTCTTTCAAACAAAACCCATCAAACCACAAATCATGAAACATTTTGAATTCCTGGATGGCACTGCGTTCGAGATCCTTTCCCCCCGTCATGATTCAATCCTGAGTCTGCACAACGCGATTGAAACATATTGAAACCAATCAAAACCTTGAAATGTGGTATCTGCCTGGTTTTCTCACCCACATGCCATTACCCACTTCTTGGGCAATGGCAGAATCTCGTACCTTCTTGCAGTCGTTGAGAGTCTTATGAGCGTCCATCCATCGCTTGTAGTCTGGCCCATAGTCATCCTGACCGGGTCTTAGGGCTGTCGGGAGGATTTCGCCACTCAGCATGCCAAGCCAACCACTACTTGCACTACATCGGACGCAAACACCACCTGCTTCTTACAACCTTCCTTATGAGTTCGAGAATGTCTACAGTAGAGTCTGCAGTCTTTGGCTTCAAACCTGGCCTGCATAGCGTTACATTTGGGTTCCCAACAAGATCCGTATAATGTTCTGCATCTATCAGTTCGGTCATGTCATGCTCCAGTCCATGCAAGCAACTGTCACGGAAGTACAGAGCCAGCTGTTCTTGCTATCAATGGTATCCATACACCGCACGCGTTCTGGTGGTTCTTCACCCCTGCCACTGAACGCGCGGGGGCATCGCTGGGCCTCTAAGCTCAAGGGAGCATCCGGCAGGTCTCGCCAGTTCTTCACCTCCGCCTGGCGAAGACCCTGTTGGAGGCAAGCAATGCCGCGCCAACGCCGATCCTTTTTGATACCAAAAGCTCTTGAGGACGGGATGTGCCAACCAATATCCCTGCAGGGCCACTGAGGACGGGGTCTCCTGCCACTCAACTGGTAGCATCACATTTCAGTCGCCATCCCTGCATGTGTGCGTGTGTCTGGGAGGGTTTAGGGTTTAGGCTTTAGGGTTTAGGTTTCTCAGTGGTACCTCCACCGCTTCGGTCCGCCTCACCGCCCATGGAGGCCGCCAGCGACTCGGGCACCCGGTCGCCGCCCAGCGGCACGGCCTGGCGAGCTCCGGCGTCGTCTCCGGTGGAGGGGGAGGGGCCCGGAGGTGAAACTGAGCGTTGTTGGAGCAAAGCAAAGAACTGCAAGGATCAAGAGTGAAGTGATTTGCTGATTGGTTCATGAAAATCACAAACATTGAAAGCATCTTGAAGCCTCATGTGTTCGGCGCGTTTCGGCGCGTTTCGGCCGACTTTTTTCTTGCACCATTCCCCCCAAAGTTGGAGATGTAGAAATGGATAGAAATGGAGTCTGGATGCGTACCGTGACCACCATGACATACAGTTCGGTGGTCCCCAGTTCGGAAGTTCGTAGATGTCCAAAGCATGTGTGACTTCGGACTCCTTTCTTGCTGCATCTAGTGGGATCTGTTTTAGGCTCACCATGGTTCTCGGCTGCTCGTCCGCCCAACAAAAATGGGACTCTCCAGTCGATTCCAGCAAGTCTCCAGGGTCTTCACCTTGTACCCTTCCCCCCACAAAAGACCCAGCAATCCCCCCAAAGAAGACCCCCCACCACCCTTCGCTGCCGCACCCCTCGCGCACCCCTTCACCCCTTCGGTCCACGGCCCGTTGGACGGGTCCGACTGGAGCATCACCGGCTCCACCCGGCGCACCGGGTGCCGGTCGGGGCGGGTCGACACGTGGCGCACCGTGGGGTTGCCGCCGTGGAACTTCGGGTGGCTCCGGTCGAACTGCTCCGCGAACTGGGCGCCGCCTGAGGAGGGGGCGAGGCGGAGTGAGGAGGGGTTGGAGCCGTTGGGAGGAGGTGGGAGGCGTTGGGGCGCTGTCTTTTGTTGGACTTGGCGTGTCATGACCTTGTCACTCCGGAGTGACAGATCATGATTGACCAAAATGATGACTCCCAGAAACAGGTGCCCAGAAACCACCATCAATTCGGGAACCACCTCTTAGGGATTCTTAAGGGTCCCCAAACAGCCGGGGCCAGGAAGTTCCTGGTACATCATGGCTACATCCAAATGAATGGATTCCCGTGTCGGTGAAAAAATAAAAGAACTCCGCTCAACTGAAGCCATCCGGACCAGCGGGTTGGAGTTTCATTTCGACCCCGGCTGTCTCACTGTCTCCGTGGTGTGGGCGGAGAGGGTCGGGGCTTTGTCTCAGAGTCGCCCATGGGTGACGGTGGGGTCATCACCTGCCATTGCTCTTCCTTGTAGAACCCCCCACAAAACTGTTCCGTGTAGATGAAAGATGATGAAAGTAGTTGTCGTGCGTTTTCCGTTCGGAACCATGGTAACCATGTCCCCTGTCCGTTTTGAAATTGCTCGAGGTGGTTCACCTAACCCAAGCCCCGGCATCGCTACCAGGAACAAGGACGCTAGTAGGGGCTCCTGGCATCGCTACTAGGAACAAGGACGCTGCTAGGGGCTCCTGGCCTTACTACTAGTAACAAGAAGCTACAGTAGCTACTATGTTGAAAGAATTCGACGCCCTGGATCGCCATCTCTGCCAGATCCTCGCACCAAGTGGTCTGACAGGCCCAAGTGGCTTTCAGCCAGGTCCCGGCAGAACTGCATGATATCCTGGGACCGAAACGACACGAACGGCGCACCTTCGGGGCACACACCCAACAAACCATGATGTTGGAGGGAATCCAGCGATATCCAGTGATGAGTCATCCACACATTCCAAAACTAATATGCCCGTGATTTAGACGCATGGAGCTACCGACTCCCGGCCATCGCCGCGCCCCGGCCGCGCCCCGGCGGCGCCAGCGCGTGTTGGGTGTCCCGGACGGTGCCCTCGGGCACATCGATACCCTCCGGCCTCAGAGGATCGAAAAAGGCTCCGTTTGACTGGTCGGCCCACTCCCCAGGTGACGGAGCCCCCCGCCCCTAGTCTCAGATGGCCGACCCTGTTGGGTGTGTCTGGAAGGTGGAGAGTGAAAACGATGAGCCACTTCTCAAAAGCTTCCGGGTGGTTTTCAGATCAGGCGATGACCATCTACTCTGTCGGATTTTCCCTTGTGGGCGTTTTCTCCTGCTGCTTCCAGACCATCCGTCCATCCCCTGATGTCTGAGGCCGCCCAGCAGGATCCCACGCGGAAGACGTTGAGGCGGCATTCTCCCACCGTTCCAACCTGAGCGACCGCGGCGTGTGTTTCCACGACGCGTCGTGAAACAGAGAGGACATCGTGATGTTCTTACCCCCCCTTTTGCGGGGCTCCAGTTTCTGAAATCGTCCCTGAGTTAGGATGGATGACTCGACCATGCAATTTGAATACCAAAAAAGGTGTTTGTCCACTTCCACAATTGTTTCAGGGACGGTAAATCAAATATCCTAAATGTTTGCTCAGTGTGCGAACTGTCCACAGGTCTTGCCAGCGCTTGTGTCGCTGCACAGTGCAGAGCCAAACAGCTTTCCAGGTCATGTGTCTTGGAATCGTCAGAACCCCCCCCAACTGCATGGGGGGTTGTCCTAATCCCTATATAATCATCCCCATTCTTACCCTAGAATCCTAGAATGTCCACTTCGACTATACTTGGCACCCCAAGTCTTGAGGAAACTCCGAGGTAAACCTGGCCCATCCGAGTCGAGACCTTCCGAGCCTTCGCCCCCCCCAAATCCATGACTTCTGTGCCGACCCGAAGCGCAAACCACCACCTCCTCCCAGACCGGACCCCAAGACCGACCGTTCCTCTTCGCTTTGTGCCACGAATGGGAGACCGGGGCTTCGTCGGTTCATCGGTTCGGTCTGCTGAGTCCGACCGGAGAGACCGGAGAGACCGCCCCAGAAACGCTGCCAGTGAAGGAGGTTCCTTTTGGGTGATTCGCTCTGAAAACCCTTCTGATCAGCAGGCCAGTGACCGCCTCCGCTCCCTAACATCGACCCGGTGTGAACGAAGCCTTTGCCCCTCAGACTCGTTTGGAGTCTCATGTTCGTCAGTTTTTGGTGTGGCTTCGTTCTTCTCTTCTGCAGGGAAAGACAGGGGGCCCTTGACCAGCGGACTTGGTTCACGCAAGCCCAGACATTCATGTGTTCGCGAGGCCGAAGCGCCTGGTTCCTCCAATTTAGAGCAGGATCGAAGTAGGACAACTTGAGCCAAAAGGTTTTGCAACGCAATTAGAACATATTCCAACATCTTCAAACCTTCTATTGCTCTTCACAAGTTGTTCGTTGAAAGAAACCTTAAAAACCTTCAAATCCTCTTCCAGGGCAGCCTGACAGGGGCTACGCCTCCGCCTACGCCGATGTCTCAAATGAGGAGAAGGCGCTTGCCGCGACGCACAGAGGGCCCTATGGCGTGAAAGCATCTCCCGGCTAAGCAAAATGAAGCAAGTCTGATGGCAAACCAGTCTGAAATGTTCAATGAAAGCATCCAGAATCAAGTCCTCTCATTGAATTTAAGCAATGTTCTGCAATGTTACCGTCAGATCATTTGACATCTTCACCTCAAGAAAGGTCCAGAAATCCCCTTTCAGGGCCCCTTTCTTTGGCAAAAAGGAACGCCCCTATCAGGATGAAGATGAAGGTGTCGACTCCCACTTCTCCCAAAAAGAGATGTCGATCTCCACGTCTTCCCCGAATCCACCTCCGCGCCCACATCGTTCCGCCCCTCTCCTCGTCGTACTTCGCGAAGAGCTTCGCCCGCATCTCCGTCCGCTTGGCCGTGGCGAGCCGCTTCGCCTCGGTCGTGGCCGTGCGAGCTTCGCTTAAGCGCCCAAGGTATACATGTGTGCTTGGATTTGCTGGTCCAGGAAGCCTAGGAATAAAAAGAATACACCAGGTTTGGGGATTCAACCATAGGGATATAATACAATCACCTAAGCGAAACCAGGTACAGCGTACAAAAATTATAGACTTCAGGTCTGATTTATAGGGGCGACCTCCCTGGCCCAATGGAATGTCGTCTGTTTTGGATCTTCCCCAAGGTCAAACTGAGAGGCGGCCCTGTTAAAGTACAATCTCATATGGAGTTCAGGTCTGGTACTTCAATGATCTGCGAAGAATAGTTGAAGTAGAAACGGATCACCTTCCAACGAATGTTCCAACGAATGAGCAACATCAACAACTATATATAATGATTCGCCGGACGTCCCCGCCGCAGGACGTCCAAAGAAATAAGAAAAGAACCGAAAAAAAAAAAAAAAAGCCGAAAAAACCTGGGCATGACACAGAGAAAAAAGGACCAGGAGGCATTTTCTCCTGCAGGTCCCCCGGCGATCCGCTCCTTGTTGTCTTTGGCCTTTGCCAAAGCATCGGAGACCAGTCTCGTGGCCTCGGAGACCAGTCCGTGTGAGACTCGTGCGGCGGCCACGGGGTGGTGTCCACCCAGCGGGACTTCTTGGGTGCGACCGGCAACTGCTTCCAAAGCAGCTCGGTATGGGAAAAGAAAAACAGGTATGGGACTACAGTAATGGGATGAGGGGATATTCTGCAAGCTGAAGTCTGTCAGAAAGCTGAAAGGAAGAGACCTCAGGAGAAAGGAAAACTCGAACAACCTCCAAAAAGAGCCATAAGATATACAGTATATCTTAGATCTGCCGAGCAGATCCCCAAAACAAGGATCTGCCTCGATGCCTCCGGACGCCAAAACGAGGTGACCCTCCAGTCAGGGCCCCTGCAGCTTGGACCCTGGGCTGAACCTGGCATTGAAGCTGAGACGGGTTACCCCGCTGAAGGCTGGCCTATGGACCCTGAAAAAACCTGAAAAACCACTGACTTGTAGAGATACAGTCTCAGTCTTTCAGCAAGCCATTCTCAGGGTCCACGTGAGCACCGGAGACCGGTGGTTTGTCAAGACCTGGATGGCCTGTTAAAACGAGTGCCGGGGCTCGACTCGGTCGACGTCGTGTGACCGGTGACTGAAGACCGAATACGAAGACCCAACCCCCGAAGGCGGCAGTCCAGTGGTGTCTTGTTACGGTGAAAGCTTTTGAAAGCTTCATGACCCTGAAAAGTTGCTTCACCTTGTGGTTGAAGCAGAACAAAGCATGAAGGTTCATACAGGTCCTCCCCATCCCCACACACTGGTTCCAACACTGCCATTGATCATGGATGATCATTGTCCTTTTCCTGCCATCGTTTTGGGGCCTCCGTGGGCTTTGAGCCTGAAGCCTTCCACGAAAGAAGCTCAGCCTTCGGTTTTGGACATTCATGGCCCTCAGGCTGGGGTTGATGACTCTTAAGGTTTTAAACAAAGAAGTAGAGGTCCAGATCAAATGCGGTGCTCGCAGGTGCGACGGATGAAAAAATTGGGAAAAACTTCACGGACCATCGTAAGCCGAACGCTGGACGTTCTCCTCCGAAAGCCACAATGTTTAGACCCCCCAAAGAAGGGTTTAGAAAAGTAAAACCCCAAAACCCCTTCTTTCCAATAGATTCATGTTGTTTCCAATAGATAGAAAATGTAAAACCCCCTTTTTTCAAAAGGTCTTGGAAAGCGTTTCTGATCTATTTAAGGACCACTACAGTATACGGACCACCTCCCGGACCCAGTCTACTACTTCCACCGTTCCGCCTGGGAGATGACTTGTTGCGCCTCTGCCCGGATGTTCTCGGCCTGGGACGTCAAATCCAGGATGCCCCACCGGGGCAATGCAAAAGCAAAGTAGCTACTGGTTTTGAAGGTCCGGAAACCCCTCCTATGCGGAGGGATTGTAAATCAATAGTAAAGGGCCCTCTATGGTCTGAGACTGGCAAACACGATCTCGTGCGCTCCCTCCACCCTGTGCGATCCGCTGCATCCCCGCGATCCGCTGCATCCCCACCTCCTCGATGGTGGCCTTCTTCTCAGCTACGAGGTCCAGGCATGCCTTTCCGAATCGTGCGCAGAAAAAATGACCGCCAAGGAAACATGTCGAGACATTCAAAGATCAATGGAATATCGGCTATATAAATAAAGGGGCAAAGGGGATTGGAAAAAGGACTTCTATCAGACTGACGCTTTTCCGTTGTCCACATTGGATACATTGGTATTTCCAGATGGTACTTCATGTGGATTCCATACTGCATCTGCAGGCTGGGAGCAGGCTTGACTTTCAAACAGTACTACCTCAAGAATTGCCCCAAATGCAACCGCCGGCATCAGAAAAGCGAAGGCGATGGCATGTGGCCTGGCAGGAAGTCATTGCAGACTTGCCTCAGGTCAGCCAAGCCAAGAAGTACTGCATCCAGCAGAAGTCATGATCAAATCCATTCAAATCCAAAGACGAGACCCAAGGAGGTTGGACTCCTTACTTGGCACCGGGCTCGGGCTCCAAAATGGGCCCAAAAAAATATCCGGTGAAAAGGTTGGACTAGTTGAGGTCCAAACGATGGCCCCAAAGGACTTGACTTGTTGGTCTCCTTTGCAAAAAAAACGCCACGCCAACCGCCCGTTTCAACGGTCCGCGGACGGACCGGGGCCCCCCAGCCCGTCTTCTCGACCGTCCGGCACAACTTCAAGACCTGCGGCGCGGTCCGCGCTGTTGCGCGCCATTGGTTGGTCGTCGGTCCCAAAACAAGGAGGGAGCTGGGTAGGAGGATCGGCAAGCTAACGAAGCGCATCAAACAATGTACAAGATCCACACGTGTGACATGCGTGTTGGATTCAAACTGTGATGTCTCCCGGCTTACAAAAGAAAGACGCCCTCAAAACCCTCCCAAAAGAAATGGTGTGAGGCGTGCAAAATCAGTCATCCTTTCCCACTTGCAAGGAGCACACCCTCACGCCTCAACGACCTCCATCTCATGCTCTCCCGCCTCAGGTGCTCCACTCTTCGTGCGTGGCATGGTCGAAAAAAACGCGGCGCCCAAAAAATGGGCTGCAACATCCCCCCGATTTGGTGCGAGGCGCAGTCCTGAGAGCGAGGTTCCTGCTGCAAAACGCTGTTCATGGCAAGTGGGCGTTTGGTTTTCGCAACTGAACCTTTCGTCTAGCCTATTGCTGGAAAAAAGAACAAAAAAGGTTTCAACAGAAGGGTCAGGTGGACCATGGGAGGGCTGGGCCATCGACCCAGCCGGAAGGGTGTGATGAACCCGAATGGCATCGGCCCCGTGATTCGACACGTTGGACAGCCTTCACCAATCGCAACTAGCAGGAATAGATCCTCAACAGTTTGTAAACAAACCCTCACGTTGACCGCTTTCCGCTTTCTCCCGGGGCACGTGTCAAGATTAGGGTAAAGTTATGTAGGGGGTCACGAACGCCTTTTGCCGACAGTCATGGGTAAAAGTTCATCACAAAAAATGCTCAACTCTGATGGGGCCAGTGATGGCTTCGGTTCCCAACATATGGATCATCGGATGATCTTGGACGAAGGATCCCTCAAGTTTGGAGCAGCCCGGTCCAGTAGACCTCCACGTTGGAGTTCCACCATTGACTTAATGGGTTTCTACATGTTTCTATCAAAACAACCATTCTTTTAATCTAGACTCTTGATTCACAACCACCCCATTTGCATTGGAAAAAATAACTCTTCATATACAGTAGGGGTGTATTTTAAAAAAGAAGACAAGTCTACCAGCTGCTTCCAAGGGGTCGCCGATGGATATCTCCACACCACTTACAGGTCTCCATACAGGGCACCCCTTCAAAAACGCTAGGTACATTAAGGATCTTAGACTACAACGCCTAGAACCGGTCGGCTCCAGGCCTCGCAAAAACGGGCCTTCCTCCCCCATCCTGCCCGGCTCGCTGCCCGAGGCGCCAGTGGAGCTGCAGTATAATGCGCTCCCTCGGCGGCTGCCTGAGAACGCAAGGAAGGAGCTGAGCCTTGTTTTTACTATGGCACACCAGAGAATCAACCCAAGTCAATCAATGGAAAAGGTACCTTAATGGTATTCAATTGATTCTAATTGATTCAATCTTAGGTATTGAATTTCTATATGCACTATTCCTTTAATGCAAGAGAAGCAACATCGCCTGGACCTGATCATGTAAACATGTTCAGCGGGATGTGAACAAGAACCACATTGATGAAAGATCTTCCCCTCTAGGTACACCATCCCTGACTGGGGGGCAAATCGGGGCCAACAAACAACGCAGCGACCTACTCTTACATCCTGCTCTCTTACACACTGCTTAAGGTTCCTTTCTTCAGCTGGCTGATCTTGGAGGCAATCTCCCTGCTCCAATTTGTTTTTTTGGCATCAGGTCGGCTTCCATGATCGCTTCGAGGAATCGAGGAAAGGCTTGGGTGATTTCAATGCTCCAAGAGACATGCACATATTGGACACGAAAGGCGAACGCGATGGCTTACGGATGGCTCTCTTCTTCCGAGTTGGACATGTGGGCCACATGATCCCTGGCTTCCCCTGCCAAGCACGGCCTCATAGACCCCAAATCTTCTCAACTACAAACGAAACGGGTTTTGACCAGCATCCAGTTGCCGGGTGGCTCATTTGGCACCCTGACCATGGTGTTGACCATCCAATGAACTATCCGAAAAGGGGTGGTGCTGACAGGCATTCAAACCACCGTTGTATCGTAGTCTACCAAGGATTTTGCACTGCAAAAGCAGGTCAGCCTTTTTTCAAATCGTCTTGGACTCCCAGAGGGATGTTGGCACTGCGAAAATTCGATTCAACATGTCCATGCACTGCAAAGGTCACCGAAGCCCTTCGACCACCCCCCCACGGTCGAGGCCTCCGCAGAGGTCACTGAAGCCCTGCCATCGGTGCGTGGGTCAACTGGAGAATTGGTATCGGTGGGGATGGGTCCAGTGATGACTCATATGGGGATGGGTCAAAAACCAGAAACAGCTAATCCCTGTTAGGAGGACGAAACCGCTGGTAGGTCAACTTATAAGGTATCCTGGTTTGGACCCACAGCCGTCTCACAAGTGGTGGATCATGACTACCAGCTGGGAAAGTTCATGAGTCAAAACGGAAGTCAATGAAATAGGCATAGAAACTGGTGCTTTTCACCATGGCTCCAGCTGGTGCCGCGGCCACTTTTGGGAGGATTGCACCAAGCACCACGACCCGATCCAAGACCTTCCATGCCTAGAAGCCTAGAAGCATCTACAATAGAAGCCAGTTGACACCTATTGTGATACAGAAATCGGCCACATTTGAGCCGGTTGGTACGCCAGAAAGATCAGAAAGGGAATTACTCACTCAGGTTCTAGGTGCCACCGCTCTCAGTCCGGCACCACCAACCATCCCACTCCCCTTGCTCAGAACCACCGCCAGAGCGACTGGAGCTCTTGGATCGCCGCCCGGGCCGTCGCTTCCAACTCCTCCTGCTTCTTGGCCCTCAGAAGCGGCGTGCTTCGCGGAGCCCGGGGACGAGACCAAGACGCGAACCGGCCGGGGAGCGAGCGATGTGGAGGCTCACAAGTGTCACAACGAGGACGAGGCTTGACGAGAAGGCGCTTCATCCTTCTTCCGGCAGGGTTCGCAGGTTCGTTGGAGTTGTAAACGCCACTAGCATCCACTGGCAATGCTTAAAAACATCTAAAAACATGGCACCATAGTTTGTGGGAGGTCAGGCAGGTGGCATGAGAAAGAAAAGAACTTTGGTCAGCAACGGTTAGTACTGAGGATGCTTAGGGCTTAGAGGCTTAGGACTTTCAACTTGAAAAGAAAGGGCGGTCCAAGTACGGGGGTGACAAAGTGGGTGGTGACAGGTCTTGCGTGGCTCTGCGATGTCTTGGGCACGTTGGACCAACGAATCCCAAGTGTTTCTGAAGTTCAAAAAAATGAACCCCTCTCCCACTCTCCGGAGATCCTTTTCCCTACGCATCAAGGCCAGGAGTCTTTCTTAGATGAAAACCTGCAAGCGCCTGAGAGGCTGATTTTCCAACAGCCAGGCCAAAATTCGAATTGTCAACTGGACGTTGTGCCCAGTCGAGTGATCAAATCTCGGTGTCTTTCCTATGTGACAAAGGGTGGAAACCCGAATTTGTCCACCTTGCACGGAAAACCCCTGAATTGCTGGAAGTGGTGAAGCCAAGCTTCTAGCTGGACTCTCAAAATGATCAATGCTACTTCCACGAGAAATTGCAAAGAGTATTGTGGTGCCTTTTGTACCAGTTCGGCTTGATGTGATTCATAGACTGGAATTGCAGGAAAAATCGTCATACCCCACCCTTTGAACTCACAATGGTTGCTTGAGTTGGCTCCTATCAACCCTCCCCCATGTTTCTCCTGCTCATCCACTTCTATGGCTTCGGCTCCGGGCCGTTTCCTGTACACTAGACATCGGTCCGGGTAGATTCGATCGTGGCTTCGCTCAGGCCACCAACAGTCGACGGTGCTGGCCGTTATTCCCTTGGAGCCAATCGAGGTAGAAGCGAGCTTGGTCATCCTCGATGGGGCGACGATCTCGAGTGAAGATGACGCGCCAATTGATGGATGAACGAGATTGTCCCGACTCCCGACGTACTATCCAGCGAAACCACGACCAAGGTTGCAATCATCTGGAATCGTGTGGAACTCCGTTCACCCCAAAGTCACTCTGTTCCGGAAATGGGCCCCCCTTTTGAATTTCAACTCCCTGCCGGCGTTCAAACGCCCACTGCTGAAGACTTCTCCCACCAACCACAAACCAACAAGCCTGGAAGCGCCACTCGTGGTGCTGCAGGTGACCTTCGATTTCACTCGCATCCATCCACTTCACCAAAGAGACCTCCCAGGCGGAGCCGCGGAGGTCTAGGAGCTTTCGGTGTGGTGTCTGCGGCCGAATTGGCACCGGTTCCGGGAGCTGCAACCGATTCGGAGGTCGAAACCAGCTGAGATGTCTGGTCCGGAACAGCAGGTGTGTTCCGGAGGTCTGGAATGTCTTCTATATTTGTACTTCATCGTGAGCACATATACACACGTACATATGTGCACTTAGACTCCATGCAGAAAAAGGCCCCCCTTTACAAGAGAAGGCCTCATAAACGTGGGGAAACGCCCTTCCATGAGCTCGAGCAGGTGTGGAACGGGTCCGGAACGGTACGGAACCTGGTCTGGAAAATTCAAGCGCACACGCCGGAACAAGTTCTTCCAATCCACCAACCCCACTCAGTCACATGGAATTCGCCCAGACTGGGAGACAGAATTACCACTAAGGAGTTGCTAGAAGGTGGAGACACTAGCCCAGACTGAGGCGGACACACTCAAAAGCATTGAGAACCTCAGTAAACTGTTTGGGGAAGAGTGAAATTGAGGTATGGAACAAGGGTCTGGAACGCAAGTATGGAACAAGGTGTGGAACGTAGGTATGGATCGCGGTCTGGAACGAAAGGTCAACCCGCCATTGATCCATACCAAAAGGTTTTGACTCATTGCCATATCTCGCAAGCGGGACCCCTTCCGGACCTCGTGGTCTGGGCCCTTGTGTGGGATGGAGTCTTGCAAGTAGCACTTGTAGATGTTGAAGCCGCCCCGCACCGTGGCCAACAGCTCCCCAATCGACACCTCCCAGACATGTTGGCCGACGAGGAAAAAACATGTCCGCTTCGCTTCGGGAACGGCGAAGCGCTGTCGATGGGCGAAGCTTTCGGAGATGTTGGGTTGCGTTGTCACCATCTCAAGGCCATCGGTGTTCCATTGCACTGCAAGGGTGCGGATGTTGCCAAATGTTCTTGATCAAACTGGCCGTGGCTTAGAGACCGGCACGACAGCACCTCAGAGGCAGGCACTTAGTACCACAATCCTGGCCGGTCGGGGCTTGAAGTAACCACCACCCATGGCACTGCCGGCCCGGGCCCAGTCGGGCGGCATCAAGTCCAGTTCCGGACCGGAGTGTACCAACAGAGGTGGGTACCCGACTGCTTCGACTCATGTCAGTTGGGTACTGTCACCCAAACACTGGTCCGGACCGGTCACTTTCCTCGTTTTCCCGTGTCTGATGGGTACGGGTCCCCCACCTGATAGCCCGATTCCTCAAAGGTCTCCCGCTCGGCCGTGCGCTGCGCTGGCTCGTGTCCATCGGTGCGGCCACCTGGACCGACCCGATGCGTCCGACTGAAGCCTACACAGGTGGCTTAGCTAAGTGAAATCACTGGATCATCTCTGGATAACAATGGAGGAGAGATCCATCTTTATTATGCATATTGTATGTGTATATGTATATATATTATTATATATGTGGTATGTACTGATTCAAATGGCACCTCCACTGAAGGTGGGGAGGGGAGTTTCAGGTATGTGCACCCCACCTCCTCCAAATCATTCCTTGTGGGTGGATGACCCATGAAATCATATTCAAGCATGTTGGGAAGGAAAGCGCTTACAAGGAACGGGGGGAAGCGCTTGCAAGAAACGGGGGAAAGCTCTTACAAGAAACGGACGACAGCTCTTACAAGAAATGACAGCATCCTTCAGAAATGACAGCAAATAGCAGCGGCCAAAATGACAGGAGGTTTGATGAACAATTCTTCAAATCTATATTGAAGATGTTTGAAGTATGATACAGTATGATGACCTATCCTTCAAAACTTATTTTGAGGTATAGTGACGAATTCATGGACAATTATTTCTAGGTGCTTGAAGCGGTGCTTGACCTATCTTTGGCAAAACTATTTTGACCTCCTTCCACCTTATTGATGGACCGTTATGTTCACCACCTATCATATCATCCTATTATATTCGTGATTCAGGGGTCCCAGCACCTGAAAAAGGTCACGATGTGGAACAAGCGCGGACCAACCCCTTTTCGTAGTCTCAGAGATGCGCTTCACTTTTCGATCGGGAAGGTGTTTTAACCTCGGCAATTAAAAGCTGCTTGAGCCGTTGAGAATTCTGGGGGGTCGTGGTCATCCAAATGTCACATGTGCCCTTGAATGGCCCTTGAAGCAAGAATGACCTTCAAGAGGCAAATGGCAGGAACGCGACATCTCTCCCTCCCACCTGGGATGTCGAAGAGGTATCCGTCATAGGTGAGTTTCACCGCGAGCATCGTCGTCCCGTTGCTCACGAAGCATCCGGCGTGCGAGGGCGGAGCATCTTGATGAGCTGTCGCCGCCACCACGGCCAACTGGGCCACCTCGGCTGTCAAAGTGGTCGAACTCTTGAATTTGAAAGGCTTGAAAAGAATTGAATTGAAATTAACAGGGTGATCTTGGCATAGGCATTCTTAGTAACTGGCTTCTACAGAATGTGTGCGTGCAGATCTGTCTCCACAAAAGGAGAGCCCCACCCATTTGACTGTCTACAAAATGAACTGTTTCCCCTATTCACTGCAGAAACGGGAATCAGCCATCAAAACAAAAATCTGCAACGGTCTCTACCAAATGAGAATCAGATTGTTTCATCTGTCACACGCTTCGGGGAGACACACAACTAGCGATCAAAAGAATCGCGGATAGAGAAATCGGATACTGAACAAATCAAAGGTTGTTGTCCTGTTCTCTGCGAAATGAAGCACCGGCAACTCACAGTGTCTATAAAAAATGAGGCTGCACCAAAAACGACGAACAAATGAGAATCACCCATCCCACTTCCTTGATAGACGACATAATTCAATTGTTGATTTCTCTACAAATGGAAACCAGGGTATCCAAAGTGATCCCAGCAATCTTGTTCTTCTATGATAAAATACCACACACTCACACACACGCAAGCGCGTTGAAGTCCAAACGTGTCCAAACGTCGCTTTCTACAAGGATCCCAGGATCCCAACTGGTCCTCATGCTGTCTTCCCAAAAATCCCAAGACCTACCCCAGAAATCCCCAGAAACTCCGTCCTCGCACCACTGCTTGTTCAAGCCCGAGGCGGCCAGAGGGAAGAACCGGCGCCCAAAAAACCGCGGCGCTTCGCAGTGGGTGTCACGGGTCGGCCCGGGCGAGGTGACGGACCGAGAGCGTACGGGCCGAGGCGCGAAGCAAAGGAGCTGAAGCATCGCTGTTCGAAGGCGGTCGAAGAAACAGTCACGTTGCAGCTGAACCGGTGAAATCGGCTGCGGAGTTAGGTATTTTTGCGAGGAAGCAACGTTTGGTCACTTAAGAAATTTCTGGGCGACACTCTTGGCCATCAGTAAAGTTGGGGTTTCTGTTTGGAGGAAATCCTACAGCTGCTCAGATGAACATTCCGCACACCACTTAGAAGTAGTCATCCCGGGTTCTTACAGTTCCAAAACTGTAGGAGTTTCCAGGAGCGAAGGTACCACCAACAAAAAATCGAGATCGAACAGATCGAACAACTCGAGGGAAAAACGGCGGGTCTGAGCTGTTCGGCTGTTCTCTTGGGCCGCGGACTGCTGTTCTCGGAGCTCCTCCCACTTCTTCTGCTGCTCCCGAACCTCCGAGGACTGACTCGTCGTCGTCGCCGAACGGAACGAAGACTCGCGGTGAAGCCGAGGATGCCTTCGTTGCAAGCGATCAAGACTCAGGGAAAGAGCCCCCCAAACACACCATACGGATCCAGACGGAGTCCATACTGCTTGATCGATTCCTCGGTCAAAGGGGCACTTCATGGGGGGGATGCTGAAAGGAAGAAACCCAGCAAGTTCTTGCGCCCACACGACACGTTAGTAAAGGACTATTCTTGCAAGGGGTCGCACGCATTGCTCCACCCGAGTCCTGTCGGTCCTGTCAACCTGACCTGCTCCACGTATTGCTTGGCATACTCGAGCACCCGGTCTGCTTCAGCCTTGAGAATCTCCTGCTCTGTGGCGGTCGTCGGTCCGCTGCGGCAAAGGTTTTTTGTAAAATGAACCTTCCGGGAGTGATCAAGAGGGGTCTATACCTCCCAAGAAGAAAAAGGACCTGGATTGTTTGAGAGCCTATGGGAGTCATGCGCTTTTGGAAGTGCGTTCCCCAACCTAAGAAATGGGAGGCGCCTTTGGGTTTTCGTTCAGAGGCGCCTGCTGTGCGCCTGTCTCTGGCAACTCCGTGTTGAGGACCTGCGCGACACCGGGCGACACCGGGCGACACCGGGCCTGGCGGCACGAGTGGTGAGCCGCACAAACGCCTTGACTGAAAAACACATCTATACCAGCTGCTTCCGTTCGGGGTCGCCTGGCTGGATCACGAAAGCACGACTTACAGGTTCACCCCGACAGGGCACCCCGACAGGAAGCGCTAGGTACCAGGACACCCGGGCCAGGGGGTTCTATTGATAGCTCCGAAAAGAGGTGTCATGGGGTGTCCATGAACCACCCGACGTTGTGGGTCCTGGTATATAAACATCTTAATGTATACATACAACCCAAGTTCATGCCCAAAGCAAAACCAGCACTCTATGAAGTCATGCCACCCTTCACGTCTCCTATTGAAGGCTTAGGCTTCCATGTGCCACGAAAGATTGCACGTCTGCAACCAACAGAAGTTGAAGAACCGTATAGGCTATCCTATAGGTACCCTGGTAGGGTCCTATAAGGTCACTTAACCTCTGTTGGAATGGCAGAAAACGTGATGTTCAACAGATTACCACCGCCACCGGTGTGATTCTTCTTGGAAAAGCCCATCGAGTCAGGGGCGTTGTTCTTCGCCCATAGTCTCGTCAACGTCTCGTTCTTGCTTCGTCACACGGGATCCGGGTACCGAGACGTTCCAAATCCAGGTGTTGTGAGACGTTCCAAATCCCGAAATCACTGCAGCTCCCCAAAAACCGACACTGGGCATGATTTGCGTCTTACATCATTCTATCCTTTTTGCGCTGCACCGAGACCAAAAAAAAGAAAGACATCAACCCAGCGACCGGTCTTCCGACCCCTCGCTCTTGCGCATCCGTCGGGTTCGGCCGCCTCCTCGAGTTCTTTGTTTAAGGACTCGAAATCGTCCGGGCCTTGGCGGCGGGAGGGGTGGTGGGGAAGTGGGCGTGGGCTGGAAGAGGTCTTTGGAGGATGTTCAACAGGTCGCATTCTCAAAATGGGATGCTGGTTGGTAACGGTGGTTTCAACTCGCTTGAAAAAGTGACGTCCATCATCCCAAGTAAAGCTGGAAAAGAAACGGCACCTCTGCAAAACCACTACCCAGTTTAGATCCATGACCATCGGTCCCTCTGGAAAATGGCGCCATCGGTCAGCCAACGGTCGTCCCAACTGTCGTCCACTCCGATCCCCTCACCGATCCCCTCACCGATCCCCCACCCGGGCGCCCCCCGCTGGCGTTGGAGAGTTTCTGCAGCACGCGCAGAACCGAAAGGGTCGCCTGGACCCGCCCCGAACCCGCGGGGAACGACGCCGAGCCGAACCGGCGCCCCGCGCGCGCGCCGTAAACGGCCCCCGAGAGCCCAGTACCAATGCGAGGAGAGAGACGTGGGACCCATCTGCCGAAGCAATGAGGATGTATCTGAGGATGGAACGTCAAACTCTCCATGTTTCTGCAAGAATCTGAAGGCACTGACACATCTATAGGATGAGGATGTTGTAGAACTGGTTGCCAAATGTAACAAATCAAGTAAAACGGTCAACAACTACCGTATTGAAAAGTTGTTCTATATATATATATAATTGTAATATACTGTTCAAAATTTCTGGGACGATCTGAAGATCCTTTTTGATCACACCACTCGGACGTTCGGAAGGTCTGGTAGTTTCGTGATGGCCTCGTTCTTGTTGGAGCTGAGAAATCAGCTCTCAACAGCTCCAAGCACTGTGGTGTCTGAGAGAACCGAGGTGTCCCACTGTTCTGCTCCACCTCTCCCCCCCTCTCTGACCCATCTGACCCACCTGCTGCTGGCGCAGCACCTTGGCTTCTTCTTCCCTTCGTTTCCTGGCATCGTTCGACCGACCCGAAAGGCCTCCGCCGTCAGACCGTCAGACCGATGGAGAAGACGCAGCGTCAGAACGGAAGGACCGGACGGACCGGACCCAGCTGGAAGGGTTGGCCCAGCTTGGACCCGTGGATTGAGGAAACGTCTGGAATGTTACAAAGTCCATGGATTTCAAAGGATGTGTCCCCAGTTGCTTTTGTTTGGAAGAGTTGACACAAATGTTACATGCTTTCTCTGATCCACCAGCGAGATTGGTGAGCAGACTCCACACTAGTCTGGCGCGTCGTGGAAAAACTGCACGCGGAAAGATCTGTGACTTTTGCCATGAAGTTGTCTAAACGAGTCCCTGCAGTCTAGTAATACTGTTGATCATATGTCAACCCCAAATTGGATGGTAAAAGAGTAAAACCTCTTCAGGCCTGGGGGGTGGTTGAAATCTCATCAACCCTTCTACCAACTCAGCAACTCTATCCTGTCCCGATCCAAAGCCACGCCGGGCGAACTGCTCGTCTTCCGCTTTCCTCTTGTCCTCCTCCGCCCTCCGCTGGAGCTCTTCCTAGCGCGCGGATTGCCCAAGTGGACACACACACGTCCGGGATGGTCACCACGAAGAGTGGAAGAAGTTGTACACCGAAAGGAGGAAGTTCTCCAAGTTTCGTGGCCTACAATCTGTGGTTCAACGAATGGTGCTTCGGTTATAAGCATTGATTTGCGCGTTCTCACTGCTGCTTAGATCTTTCCGCATACCTGTTTAGACCTGTTTGATCACGCAGTGGATCACAAAGTGCTCAACTGTGGGCATCCCCATCCAAGCTAAGCTACCGGGGTCATCAAGTGGACACTGATTGACTCATTGAAGCCGCTCCTTCTTTTTCACCTCCCCTGTCATCCCCCTCTGCTACGGGAGTACCCTTTAGGAGTTAAGACGTTTCTATATAGAGAGAGAGAGAGAAAGAGAGGAAGACTCCCCCATCCAGCTAATGAGAAAATCCTACAGTATGAAGATCTAATGAAGCTTATGGAATCTGAACCATCAGTTGCCTTTCCAATAGTGCTGTCCAAAAAACCATACTCAAACATATAGATATAGACATGGATAATGATACAGAAGATGACTGTCCTACCAAAGGAGGTGTTTTGCAAGTCTGCATGTGTTTTGGACCGTTAAATCGCTTGGCATCAACCGACGGGCCTCATGTCGCTGCCATTCTTCGCGCCGCCTTCGCTCCATCTCCTCCGCTCGTCGACCATTGGGCATGTGACTTTGCAGCTTTTGATCATCGACGAAAAGGGCGATGGAAAATGACTCAATTTTGAAACACTTTTTGGGTGTGCGTCAAGAGTGATTAGGGAGGTTAGTCTATTTTACAGAAATGAAGGAATAGGACTAGGATTGGACTAGGATGAAGCCGAAGCAATGACACCGACCTACTACCTGTAGAGGAGTTTTCTCCCAGTAGAGGATTTTTTTGAGAAAGCACTGGGCAGGAAGTATCTCTGGACTCTGGACTGTCTAGAAAAACCAAAAAAAGTAACTTCCACTGGTGAAAAGCATTGAAAAAACTGGAGAATCCCCGGAGTTTGTGAAGATGACGGGGGCGACCTCGTTTCACTCCAACTATCAATGGCTTTGATGGACTTTGGAGATTCATCGTGTCATCTGGCGCCTCAAAAAACATCGGACCCTCCAAACCAATGGGTTTTGACCTGTTTCGACCCTGCGCCCGAACCTGCGCCCGACCTGCGCGCATCTGGTCGACGTTGAGGGCCGACGTGTTTCCAGACGCGCACCCGGATCGAACATTGATTCCTGGACCATCTAATGGATGTCCAATGGACATGAAAAGGAATGTGTAGGGTGGTCCATTGGTGACCCATTGGATTGTCCTGGTATACAGCAATTATTCAAGCTTGGATTTGCTTAGGCAACCAGGAAAAAGGAAAGAAAGATCTTCCCCGGAAGTAGGGGATTCCCGGCAAAGAACTGTAGTAACTTTGCTTGGGAAGATCTGTAGCCTGGAACCGAGAGCAGAGGTCGCGCCTCTTTGTTTCTCTCCTCTTCTTGTTTCCTTCGTTCCTGTGCGAGGGCAACAGAACGACCAGAGCCTGGGCCTACCTGGTACTACCCAATGGACATGGCATAGAAGGCTCCAAAAGGAGTCTTCCGGACCTTGGCTTGGGACGTTTCAGCTTGAGGCCACATCTCTTCCGCAAGAAAATGAGAGGTCAATGTTTTGGATCATCTTCTGAATCACCTTTCACACCTCATTACGGGCGATTAAAAGCCCATGGCAGTCTTCTGTGGCACGAACAACTCCACAGGGTGTGTATGTGAGAGATAGACTGATAGACTCTGATAGACGTACCACCCGTGCTGCTTTTTTGATGTTTTAATCATATACAGTAAGGTCGTGAAAACTCCAATAACTACACAGTCTTGGTCCAAGTACACGCAAAAAAAGGACGCGGGACACGAATCTCGTCGTTTGGGATATTCTGCACTTTCGATGCACGGCAAT